ACAGGGATTGTAAAAAGGTTACAGCCTACACCTTGTTTTTAGTTCCTGTATTTGAGAAATTCTCTTTTCAAATTGTTTCTTACCATATCGTCTTTATCATTGGAATCCACACTAAATGTCAATTTCAAATTCCTTCTGATTGATTCTTGTATATTTATAGGCTTACGCTGCCAGCTCTACCATCCCAGAGGATCAAATTCAGGTCTTAGGCTCAGTGTCCCGTCTGGCCACTGCTGAAGACATCAACAAGTGGACAATCACTCAGATCGACACACTTGCTGCTTTGATGGACTCATCAAATGGGGAGTGGGACCCAAGCCTGGTGAGCAATGAGAGGCTAATTCATTGTGCAAGTGTGTGTATGGTTGTGTCTTCTTGTAACTGCATGTTTCTCCTCATCTAGGCTAAAGCCATCATCACTAAGTATCTGAGTACAGAAGGGAACACACTTGGCAGTACAGAGCTGAACTTTATTGGAGGACCAAACCTGTGCTCCCTGGACGCAGACGTTCTGAAGAACATTTCCCAACAAAGCCTCAAGTAAGAAGTCAGAGTTGTGTGTACGTTTGGAGGATAGTGACACTGGCGTTATGACATCTGGAATCGTTAATGTCTGGAAGGTGGAAGCACATCCTGTGTAGGACTGAGTCAGGAATCTATAACGAATAACGATATCTAATTCCTGCGTGTACAGCGGCAAGAAACAAATGTATATGACGCCTTTGGAATAACCAGTTTTTTTCTGTGGTAATTAGTCATAAAATATGATCTGTTCTTAATCGAAATCACAAATATAAACAAACTGTGCTTGAGCTATTTACATAGAAGCAATTCTATTCATATACATTAGACATTCACAGTGCTATTGGAAGAACCCAAGGGTTTGTCCAGAAGCTGTAGCTCAGACCCGAACAGGAGATTCAGGAAAATTTTGGACCATTCTTCCCATTAGAACTGCTTCAGTTAAGTCAGATCCATATTGACTGAACAGACAGATATTCTTTGTCGAAGTCGTCCAGCTTCAGTGATTTCTTTGAACCTTAAACTATTGCTCTGGACTTCATTTTAGCCTCACTACATCCTCTGCATTCATAGACAGTTGGTGTAACTGTTGACTGATGAATACTACACTTTTTTTCCAGCTTTATTCAAATCTGCAATTTGTGATTTTGAGTCTTTGAGCGGCATGGTTCACGTGAGCAGATGCTTCTCGGGGAAAAAAAAAAATCTAAATGATGTCAGAGTAGCTCTCATCCTACAATAAATAAACAACTATATAAATAAGTAGAAATTCCCATGAAATATATAAGGTGGGGCTGCAAAGTGGCGCAGTTGGTTAGCACTGTTGCCTCGCAGCAAGAAGGTCACCGCTTCCTCCCACAAGGTCCAAAAACATGTCCGAAAACACATCTAAATTGTCCGTAGGTGTGAATGTGAGTGTGCTTGGTTGTCTGTCTCTAAGTGTAGCCCTGTGATAGACTGGTGACCTGTCCAGGGTGTCCCCTGCCTTCGCCCTAAGTCAGCTGGGATAGACTCCAGCCCCCCATGACCCTAGTGAGGATTAAGCGGTGTATAGATAATGGATGGATGGATTTTTAAACATTACATAAGCCCACACCAGCATGATTCTTCTCTGGATTTTGACATTGGGACAGTCAGAGGACAGTGTTGAGATTAGAGATTAAATGTTGTGTTTTTCTTGAGCAAACTGAGATTAAATTTATATAAGTAAGGACAGTAAAGTTAGAGAAAATTATGAGAAATAAGAGTCTGCATTGGCAATACAGATGAGACAACAAACAGTAAACTCCAGTTAAGAAGTTGAAGCAGCAGCAGCTACTGAGTGACCAATATTTCGATTAACTGATTACAGAAAAAAATAACATGTTAAAAATATAGCACTTTTAATCGCACCTTTCCCAGTTCCCTAATTTCTGGCACAGCGGAAACACTGATGCACACGCTCCAGCCCCGGTTAAGGTGCACCAGTCTGTGAATGTAGTGGACAGATGAAAAATACACAAATAAATATAGATGAAAAATAAACATTTTTGTTGTTTAAGTTCACATATATATCTACTCATTGATTCAGTCGTCAACCAAAATTAGTTTGAATTGAAAAACTTTTGCTTATTGTGTCAAATATTGCTATTTAATTAAAATGTGATTACTCAAGATTAATTAATTACAAAGCCTCTAATTAATTCGATTTTTTTTTTTTAATGATGTCCCACCACTAATTTCAGTATGAGCTGAGCTCAAATCTTCATCAATTGTGAAATAGTAGACCGTTGTCTGGACTGTTTTTCTCATGTGCTCTGTGTTTGTCTCTCCTGCAGAGAAGCCGATGCCCTGGTCGTGTCCAACTGCACCACAGAGAAAAAGAAAGAACTGTTCATCATTGCCAGAGAAGCGTTTAGTGGAAATGCTCGCTCAACTGTCTCCGTTCCCTCTTACCAGCTCATACAGCCCTACATGGGTAGGAAACCACACACACACACACACACACACACACACACACACTGCATGAAGAAAACCTTCATTTAAACTCACTGTTCGTTTCTTTCTTGTCTTGCAGGGGGTGCAACTTCAGATTTTGTCAGGAGTTTATCAACCGCAAACGTCAACATGGACATGACTACCTTCATCAGTCTGGATGAGAATGTTGTGCTGGTCAGTGCTATGTGTCTTCTGCTGTCCTTACAAGTGTCTTTTGTAAATTTAGTCTTTGGGAGGCAGAAGGCTTTGCAAGATCCATCACTTGTTTGTAAAGTTTCAGATCGCACAACAAAGCACAAGACAGACTGAAGTGCTGCTAGATGGTCAGGCCTGGTCATTGAAAAGGCGAGGGGGGTCTGGTGCCATGTAGTTCTCAGATTTGTTTACTGTACTTACTACTATGGACTATACAAAAGATGGTAGCATCCTGGTCTGAAAAATTAAACCGTAACTATTCCCCTCCGTCCCATCAGAATGAATAGCCGCCCGGCACCCCCAAATATTCAGCCCTAGTGCCTATGTCCATCTCTTATGTAACTTAGCCTAATCACTGTGTCCAGCATTGATGGTACTAATTTGTTTGTTGTTCTGTTGGATTAGAAAACTTGTGTTTATTTGTACAGACATTTAAAAATGTATCTGCTCTGCTCTTCCTAGAACCTGACTGTTACTGACGTTAAAAACCTTCTTGGCACCAACTTGCCGGATCTCAAGTCCTACGAAAACCAAACGCAGGTACGAAGCTGGATCAGCAGTAGGGCCCAGTCGCAGCTTGACACACTGGGTATCGGGCTTGAAGGAGGCAGGGCTGACCCGACGACCTCCACCGCCACTACAACTGCCTCCGGCGCCACTACAACCGCCTCCGGCGCCGCGACAACCGCCTCCGGCGCCGCGACAACTGCCTCCGGCGCCGCGACAACCGCCTCCAGCGCTGCTACAACCGCCTCCGGCGCCACTACTACTGCCTCCGGTGTCACTACAACTGCCTCCGGTGCCACTACAACTGCCTCCGGCGCCACTACAACCGCCTCTGGCGTCACTACAACCGCCTCTGGCACCACCGCATCTTCAACATCAACAACAGCAACGACTGTTGGGTCTGGATCCACGAATTCCACAGCGAGTTCTGCTACCACCACAGGTGTGTACTGAAAAAGTAGTAGGATGTAAAAACATGATTAAAGAAACAACAGCTCAGATCTTGCCAGACAACCACAACTGGCATAAAGTTGGTGAAAACAGTCATGAAAAGCTTGAGGGCCGTTTGCAGTGTAAAACACTTGATTCTGGTTTTGCTTTTCCTTGTCATTAATGAAATCTATCATGATGGGTATGAACTTTGGTGATAAAGCGTAATCTGTTACCATAAAGGTGTCTTAACGATGTGGCGGCAAAAAGATGCATCTCTGTATGAACATGTAGACGGTGAAGTTGATTTAATAATAGTATTGTACTTTAAAAAAAGACAGGCAGCCTAAAAGAAGGTTTTACATTTAGTGTCAGATTATCGAGTCACGACTGTATTCAACATTCAGGTCCACGACCATTTAAGTAAAAACATCTGTGAAATAGCGGCAACATCAAATGTAGAGACGAAGGCGCTAATGTTAGACAATCATCAGTTTTTCACATCGGCTAAATTTGTTCGTCGGACTGATACCGATATACGTGAAAAAACACAAATATCCGCCGATACCGATGTGGTCGCCAGTATATCATGCGTCCCTACTTTAACGTATTATATACTGTTTATGTCTCCATGTGGGAAACACCTGAGGCTAGAGGTATTATTTCACATTTGGTTTAAAAAAATTCACTTAGTTTTGGTGGAAGAAGTCACAGTGACCTCACAAAACGTGTTTGGCCACAACGTGGTCGATATATTTGAAGTGAAGGATTAAGGATTCTAAATCAAACATGTGAAACACTGTTATTGATCTGTTTGTGTTTCTGTTTCAGGAAGTGGTTCCCGCATCCGTGCAGACACTGGTTTCTCCCTCCTTGTTCTCCTTGTACTCCTCATCACCTCTCATCACGCTGTGATGTGAAGAAAGCCGATGGCTGATTACTGTAATTCACTGTCTAAAATGCTGAAGTGGATATAAGGATGAAATAATTTGTATTTATCACTAATAGAAGTAAATACTGTCAAAGAGAAGGGCATTTACTACATGCAATATTTTATATGCAACAACAGCACAGTAGATGTAAATAACAAACTCCTGATTTTTTGAATCAATCAGGAGCAAAATTATTTTTAAGGTCATTTATATTTAATTTTCTTTTTTTTCTCTTTGGTTGTTAACGTGATTAAACAGTTTCAGGTTCAAAACTGTGAAGTTAAACAGAAGAATGAAGGTGACAGTTTCCACTGTATTTGTCTTGCTGTATCCATTGTGACAAAGCACTTTCTTTATGCAGGCTTCCCGTGAAAACGCTCTATTAGATCAATAATAAACATATATTGTATATCACTGCAAGATTATCAAGTCTCGTTTTTTTTTTTGCATGATTTCAGGTTGTTAATATTCAAGTATGAAGGAAAGCATTGTAAGAGGGACATATATCATTTCACTGGTACAGTAACACTAAAAACAAATTTAGTTACAAAACAACCATGAACATGTGAATATGGCAGCAAATACCAGCAGAATAAGAGGCATAGACTGACATTTAACAGGGTCACATTCAGTATCATCACGTTTCTGAAACACTTTCACTGTGTCCTCACATGTGGCTGTCTGCTGTGCTAATGTGTTATATATTAGCTGTGGCTGCAGCAAACTTTATCAGTTAATCGTTTTGTCTGTATATAAAAGACATTTTGACATCACCCCTTGTTTTGAGGACGGCCATTTTGAAGCCTTGAGTTTGACATTCGGTTGTCGCCACCTTGGTCTTCTGAAACCAGATGGGATGAGTGAGCTGTGATTTGACTGATAACTGAAAAAAGGACACTATGCGATGTGGTCGCAACCTGCTAATCAGCCCTAAAACACACCCTGCTTCATTGTCTGTATCACTATAATTTTCTAAAAAAAAATAAAAACTAAAAAAAATCAGGCTACATTGAAAAAGACATGAAATGAGTGATTGAGTTCATAGATTTATTAGGTAACAAATCAAGAGAGAAGTTCAATGGTTTTCTCAAAGACATCTATGCAATTGGACTTATTTTTCCAACCAGAAGAGTCGCCCCCTGCTGGCTGTTAGAAAGAATTCAGTTTTGAGTCACCATCACTTTTCAGAACCAAAGACTGCGGCCAATTTGTTTTAAAATGTCATAATATAGTTTTAAAAAAAAGGCTCTGTATAGTTTTTCGGAGCCCAAGGTGTGCTTCAAAACTCCAAAGCTGTTCATTTTATTATGTACAGCACAGAAAAGCATCAAATTCTCATTTTTAAAGAAGGTTGAAAACAGCAAAAGCCTGTTTCTTTTTTTTTTTTTTAACTTAGAAATCACTCCAATGTTTAGTGGATTATCAAAATTAATCTGATGAAGTAGTTTATCAATCAGCCAGTCGTTGCAGCTCTAATGTAAGTTATAAGCGTTTGTACACGCCAAGTACACGCTTGCAGGTTGGACAGATGTGCGTGGCGTCTTTCAGTCTGTCCACACAGAATGGGATGAGGCAGCAACCTAAAACACAACTGGACAAGACAGAAGCCAATGTCAGGAAATAATCAGTTACAAAAAAAAGAATGGATGAAGTTAATGCATTCAGTCAATTCTTCATCATTTATGTTGGCAATTTTAGAAAAAAAACATTCTCCATGTTATTGGCAAGTTTATGGGATGGTGATGCAGGTCTAATGGTTACGTCAACACTTTGGTCCAAATGGCAGCTGTCAAAAAAAGATAAAATAAATGTATGGACAGGAACAGAGGATGAATCATCAACATGTCAAAATCTCCAATTTCCCTCAATGTTCCACTTTTTTTTTAACAAAAATGTTTTGAAGCATACATATCAAAACAATATTTATTGGATTTATAATGCTCAAGAACTAATTATCTTGAAAAATTATTTAAGAACCACTTGAAAAAAAAAAAAAAGGTTCTTTATGTAACAAAGTGGGTCCAGGATCTTTAAAAAAAATGTTTTAACCTATTATTGCTAAAATTCTTCCAAGGTTTGAGATCCCAGAAGCAGCCACTAACAAAGAACACAAATACAAAGAACTCTGTGATAAGAAATGCTGTAATCTGGTGATTGTTTAAATATGAAATGGTTCTTTTAACATTGCAATGAATTAAAGGTGATTTCGTGTAACCATTGAATTAAAGCTGCACAGTTAAAGATGAGAGAAGGGGTGAAAATGTCAAGAGATCAGGAAAGGTTCGTGTCCCTGTAACAGCTCAGGTCTAGACATATGAGGCCACCGTCTGCGACTCATTGCTAAAGCAGCTGATGGTTCCTCTTTTTACCAGCATGTATCCTGTGATCGCCAGACTGGGTTCATTGCTATTACCAAATACGTGACTCAGATCCTAAAGGTGTCACATATATGAGCTAAAGAGGAAACGCCTATTAGAAATGTGTGTAATCAAGTGTGTGTGCTAAGGATGAAAACTGTGTGGTAGGGGGAGAGTTGAATACAGCATAAAAAGGCCTGACAAC